TGGACAAATGACTTCTGGACGTAAAGTTCAAGGTTGAGTTTTTGGATTGTCAATGCCCCTGCGGTGCATAAAATATTGATTCCAACCCACTTCGATTCAGTTCCTCTGACTTTGTAAACTATTTTAAACAAAGAGTCTTTTAGAGCGATGTGTCTACAGTTAATTAAGTGCTCTTATATCGAACTGATGATTGTTTTACGTTCAACTTTTAAGTGCCAGGTCGGATATTGTTCCAAGATGCATTTGGATAGAATGAATTGATGAAATTAATACCACGAAAGAAATGATTCATTTTTTTCTCTCCCAGTTTACATATACTATTGATGCATACAATAAGTAATTCACGTATCAGTATTCATAATCAGACAGACATTTTTAACTAAATCATAATGGGCCTGTTCTTATCATCATTGAATAATGAAAATGGAGGAATATCTGCCAACAATTGTTTAATTCTCTATACTACAGGCAACAGTCCAGCTGAACGGATTACTTCTCTACTGTATATATTTCATTAGATTAACTAAACAGGAAAAAAAAGAAAAACAACATACTAGATTATTATTGTACTCTTATAGGCCAGTGTGTGTGTGTTCTCGTTAACTATACATTTACTAGATGGGTTTATTTCAATGTTGATTGAGTAAGTTTGGTTGGAAATTCAATGATGAGTTAGAAATGCAGTCACATTTCAAATTTCCATTTACTTGCAAAGTGATACGAATAATAATAATAATAAAACTATTGAGTATATAATTTTACAGTTAAGGCAGTCACATCAGAATTTGTTTGACGATTTTCCAAATCATAATTTTACGCTGATAGATAATGTGAACAGAGTGTTCCATGTGATCAAATGGTACTACTTTTTGACCATAGATTTGAAACGATTTCTGATATTGACGAAATGTAATCAAATATGAGCAGTGGAAGAATGCGAAATTTTACAAAGTGTAAAATTATATGTTATCACTGGAATCTATGTTCATTCACTGAGGGGAAAACAATTATTATTAGGAAGTATTATCTTTTCATTTAGCAGAACGTTCAAACGCATGAAAATGTGTAGATGATGGATCTGTACGGTTATTTCGACTTGAGATTTATCATTGAAAGAGGCTGACACTATAATCTAGGATATGTGCTCTGTTCTGTTCGGGAGTAATCAACCGAATGTAGCAGCTACATACTAATGTTGATGCTCGCTCGGAGAATTCCACCCAGACGTGTTCGCTTCAAAAGTTGTGTTAGGGGTGAGTTTTAATTCATATATATTGTTTCGTAAAATCTTCCCATTGGCTTAGAAACAGGACTGCGATGAGTTAGCCTCTTTCAAAATGTGCATACATGGAATTATGTACATTCGTCTTCGATTAAAATGCTGTTAATGGAAATATGAAGATAAACCTCACAAGATCCAATCTGTCAAAAGGCATTAATCGATCGCAGGCTTAAACATCACTATGGAAATTGAAATAACCAACACAAATGAATGAAATATGGTCAGTATTTAAGCAGTAAAATATAGATATGCAAGTTATTTTTAAATAACAACATAACCTTTATTTGGATTTTAAATACTGCTAAGATGACAAACCGACATAAGTTGAACAATTAATTGAAATCAGTAATCATGAAACAACTTTTTCATCTTCATATGGTACTCCTTGGGAGTGAGTAATCAAGACCCTGTCGAGGATTGCATTTAGGCTCTTCAGAAAAACCACTGAATGATGAACCAGTGATCTAAATTTTTAGCACTCGCTTCGAGATGTGATGTTACCAAAAGCCAATCTTTGATGAGGTAGTGTAAACAAACAGTTGTATACTGGAACGAGATAAACATCCACTGCTCCATGGTTTTCAATTGTTACCCAACTTCGATTGAACCGTAACCCTGATGAATATTCAATTGATCCATTAGGCAACAAAAAAACCAATAGAAATTATCGATCGCTTCGATATTACCATTAAGTCACAAGCATTTTAAACAGAGATGGATGACGGATAGCAATAGAATTCAGTCATATGTTTCACTCCATTTCAGACTCACAAGTTGATTTTATCTGGATCACTAATTTAATGTACATTCTGGAGCATGAACCGGGTAGCATAAATCCATCTGACGACTTCCAAATAGGACAAGACCCTTGTCTTGAGTAACAGTGATCCTAACCCCCTTGAACAACGCGATAGCTCTCTAGATTCAGTAGCTAAGTAGATAACGAGATGGCATTCAAATTCAACGGCATTGAATACGAGTTATGTAGTGTATTACGTAATGCAGTTACATCCAGCTGACAAGTTCCAAATACAAAGGAAGGCACACCTTAGATTAAACTGCCAGCCACCCTCGATCACTGTCTAGAATTCCTTGTGGGTTGTAATTATATTCATTTCATAACAGTAATGTTATCTTTCAAGTATTGTGATATATAATCAAGAAGAAAATTTTTAAGCTGAACAAATCCCAGTCATTTATTCTTCCACTTAAACCTACATTTTTATGTATGAAACAATCAGTCCACACTACTGTAGAATTCTTAAAGCAGGACAATACAGACATTTACAGTTATGATGGGTTTTAATTGACCAGCAACTAGCAAGAGTCTATCGCATAACATCAATATTATATGGTCCAGTAAAAAAAGATAAGGTATATGTTAGTTACATCTTCTGCATGGTGGACAGTTGACAAAAGACCGGTGTCACGCAAGGTTCCTTACTCTCACCCTTTCTCCTTCTCCTGGTGAACGACTGGATCATGAAGACGTCAACATCTGAAGGGAAGCACGATATACAGTGGACATCTAGGATGCAGTTGGACAATCTGAACTTCGCAGATGATCTAGCCTATCTATCTCAAACGCCACAATAAATGCAGGAGAAGACGAACAGTATAGCAGCAGTCTCAGCAGCAGTAGGTCTCAATATACACAAAGGGAAAAGCAAGGTTCTCCGATACAACACAGCATACACCAATCCAATCACGATTGACGGGGAGGCTTTGGAAGATGTAAAAACCTTTACATATCTGGGCAGCATCATTGATGAACATGGTGGATCTGATGCAGATGTGAATGCGCAGATCGGCAAAGCAAGAGCAGCATATTTACAACTGAAGAATATCTGGAACTCAAAGCATCTGTCAACCAACACAAAGGTCAGGATTTTCAATACAAATGTCAAGACAGTTCTACTGTATGGAGCAGAAACCTGGAGAACTACGAAAGCCAACATCCCGAAAATACAGATGCTTATTAACACTGTCTACGCATAATGCTCTGGATCCGTTGGCCGGACACTATTATCAACAACGTACTGTGGGAGAGAACAAACCAGATCCCAGCGGAGGAAGAAATCAGGAAGAATTGCTGGAAGCGGATAGGTCACACACTGAGAAAAGCACTCAAATGCGGCACAAGACGAGCCCTCACATGGAATCCTCAAGGCCAAAGGAAAAGAGAAAGTTAAAACAATTAGTCCCTTTGATAAATTTCGATAATGCAATGAGAAGACGTAGTTTATCAGAATTATGTGATATATTTGCGCAATACATTTCGAACAATCTGATCACACATATACTTGTTAAGAACATTTATATATGAAAAATTAAAAGGTCAACTAGACAGGTTAAGGGTAAGTCATAACAAAGGAAAAAATATTAAAGTACACAAAAACAAATGTGATTACCACTCTGGACAGTAAATCAGTACTACCAGGGTAGGTTAAGTGTAAGTACAAATTGTTTTTGAACACATAAAGGGGGTTTCAATTTTCGTATAGCCAAGGCTTCAATAAACCTTAGTATACGTCCTTGAAGGCTTTTGTACAACACAACAAATGCTGATTTGATATCAACCTTATGACCCGTCTCAATCAAATGTTTCGCAATGGATGATGATGTCTGTCTATCCTGTGATCTTATTTCACCATTGGAATTCATCTGATTTTGCAACCATTTTGGTATATGTTCACCCACCCTTAATTGCAAATCACGATTGCTCCTCCCTACGTACGTGTTTCCACACATACATGTAAATTTATAGACACAATGGGATGTGACACAATCGTTTTCATGCTGTTTGGGCTTTTGGTGAAACATAGACCTTGTCTTTTCGATAATGACAAGTTGGGCTGCATAAAATGTCTCTGTTTCAACATGAGACTATTTGTGTCACCTCTGAATGGTAGCGTAATATAAACTCGCTTTTTGGGTGCCAGAAGCGTCATAGGTCTAGTCATATTGCAACCCTTCCAGCGGTTTATGAACTTCAAAGGGTAACCATTATTGATAACGCATCAGTCAAGAGCTTCATCTCTACTTCAATAGTATCACTAGTACAAATACGATTGATTCTATTGAATAAGCTCTTTATTAAACCACGTTTATAATGAATAGGGCAGTGACTATGAAAATTAAGATATTGTCCTGTCCATGTTGGTTTTCTATATATAGCACGTTTGATGGAACCATCATCTCTCCTAGTAATCAGGATGTCAAGAAAAGGAAGTTGGTTGTTCTTCTCTTCTTCACATGTAAGAGAAATGTGGTTTTGACTACTATTGAATTCTTCTAACAAGTGGCTTATGTCTTCAATTTTATCACCTATGATTATTATGTCGTCTACATATCGTTTATACAGACCCATCTTTCGAATTGAGTCTCCAACTAAATTTTCCACATATCCCATGAACACATCAGCTAGCAATGGTCCTAGAGGGCTGCCCATAGCTACACCATCTATTTGTCTGAAGTGTTCACCTTCAAATGTGAATTTTACATTATCTGTACATAATAATAATAAATCTTTAAGAGTTTTAACAGGAAAAGGTAGTGGAAGGTTTTCGAAGAAATAAAGTCACACAAAATATCAATGGTTTTCCTAAGAGGTACATTTGTAAATAAAGTGTTTACATCAAAGGAGCACATTGTCTTTGTCTTTATATTTATATCCTTTAAGTAATTAATTAATTCGAATGAGTCAGTCAAAGAATACTTACAATATTGATTTCTGATAGGGTTTAATAATTTTGTAAGCCATTTTGCCAGGTTGTGTGTAGGTGACCGACACATAGATAGAATTGGACGTAGAGGGGGTATTAGGCTTATGAATTTTCGGTAATCCATATAAATTAGGATATGCCGAACCCATAGGTTTTAATAAATTAAACTCATCTTTGTTAATAGCATTCATGTTTAACAATTTCACAAGATTCGAGTTCACTTTCTTTTCTAATTTACGTAATCCATCAAAGTCAACATCAGCCAAAAATTTGCTTTTATCACTGAGAATGGATTCCATTTTATTTTTGTAATCTGACTTATTCATAATAACAACACCAGATCCTTTATCGGGTTTAAGTATAATAATATCGGCATTATTTCGCAATTCTTTTAATGATTTGAAATGCTGAGAAGTTAATATGCTTCTCTGCTTTGGTCCAAAAGAATGAAAATGATGCGCTATATCCACTAGTTTGGCTTTAAACCAACTTTGATTCTCTAAGGACGAAGGGGTTAAAGTACTCAATTGATCATAGAGGTTTTCAAATTGGGCATTGACTGTCAATTCAGAGATTTGTGTTATAGGAACAGAAAATTTTAAACCCAAGGACAATGCCTCCTTTTCATGAACAGACAATACAATGGAGGACAAATTAGTGACATATTTATCAGGATTGATTGGGAAGGAAGTGAGATTATTATTATTGCAGCAAGATTTTTCTAGCTTTTTCCTTATCCCTTCTTTTGTTTTCAAAATGACAGTATTACAAAAATTGATGAATTTGATATGAAATAAGACCACAGAATAGACAGACATCATCATCCATTGCGAAATATTTGATTGAGACGGGTCATAAGGTTGATATCAAATCAGCATTTGTTGTGTTGTACAAAATCGTTCAAGGACGTATACTAAGGTTTATTGAAGCCTCGGTAATACGAAAATTGAAACCCCCTTTATGTGTTCAAAAACAATTTGTACTTACACTTAACTTACCCTGGTAGTACTGATTTACTGTCCAGAGTGGTAATCACATTTGTTTTTGTGTACTTTAATATTTTTTCCTTTGTTATGACTTACCCTTAACCTGTCTAGTTGACCTTTTAATTTTTCATATATAAATGTTCTTAACAAGTATATGTGTGATCAGATTGTTCGAAATGTATTGCGCAAATATATCACATAATTCTGATAAACTACGTCTTCTCATTGCATTATCGAAAAGCGAAAGACCGAAGAACACATTACGTCGAGAACAATGAATAAGAATTGGATGGAACTAGAAAAGAAAGCCCAGGACAGAGTGGGTTGGAGAATGCTGGTTGGCAGCCTATGCTCCATTAGGTGTAACAGGCGTTAGTAATTAATTAAGTAAGGTACATCTAGCTGAATAGTTTCAAGTCACACGATATTTTGAGTCAAATAAATGATTTTGTTGACTACGATCAAACACCCTACCCGAAGGAATTGTGTACTTTTTGAGAGAGATCTATAAAACGTATACAATCCAATTGGAATTCTCACTTTCACCGAAAAAACAGTCTATTCTGTATAATTTCAAGATTATTTTCTCTATGAATCAATCGCTGAGTGAATAAACATGAGTTTTTCAGTTGAGTGGTTTTACATTCTTTGAGATTAAGAGTTAAACGTAATCCTATTTCTTATTGACGGAACAATCTGTTAGTCATTTGTCAGAACAAAAATCAAATTTCACTCATTTATCGTTTGAACTTTTACTGATGACATTTTCTGAAAAAAAAACAATGGTCATCCTTTAGTTCAAGGAAGCAACCATACCAACTAAAAACACTTATGTACAAATTGAATTACACATGAAATCGTAACCGTTAAGACAAACATAGTCTGTTTATCAACATTCATGACAACACACACATAGACACTTTTCATATACTTATTTTAATCGTAGAAAAAAAAAATTTTTTATAATCCTAGCCAATATTTACTTACTTACTTACTTTGTTGGCAATAGTGTCCGGCCAAGGGATCCGAAGTATTTTGCTTAGACAACTGTTAATTGACACGTGAATGTTCTGGATGGCTTTCGTTGTTCTAAAAGTTTCCATCCTGCACAGTAGAACTGTCTTGACATTTGTATTGAAAATTCTGAGTTTGGTTTACTTTGACAGACGGTCGTTTTGAGTTCTAGATGTTCTTTAGTTGTAGATATGCTGCTCTTGCTTTGCCGATCTGCGCCTTCACATCTGCATCAAATCCTGCGTGTTCATGAATCATACTGTCCAAATATGTAAAGGTTTTTACATCTTCCAAATCTTCTCCGTAAATTGTGATTGGATTGGTGCATGCTGTTTTTTGTATAGGAGAATCTTGCTTTTCTCTTTGTGTATATTGAGACCTACTGCTGAGACTGCTGCTATACTGTTCGTCTTCTCCTGCATTTATTGTTGCGTTTGGGATAGAAAGGCCAGATCATCTGCGAAGTCCAGATTGTCCAACTGCATCCTGGATGTTCACAAATCTCAGTAAACAGAACTGTTTTGTCCTTTTAATTTGTTCACGCGCAATAGTTCAATTAAACAGAACTCGAATTCAGTGTATTTTCTCAGTGTTCAATCCAATAGGAAAATTAGATTTTCATTTTATGAAATAAGATACCATCAGTAGAAATCAAGATGGCTTTTATCATTCACGAAAGAAATTGAAAGTACTTAAAACGAAAAATCCTTTCTGTAAAAACCTAAAGCGTAATGTGAAATGACATGAAATGTGAAAATAGATCCTTAAGTAGTTTACGCTCTCGTGCTTTTCTTTTCCCTGTTGTCATTATGTAGCAATGTGACGATTTGAAATTCATTGAAGATCTACAACATGCTAGTCTCTCAATAGTTGACTAAAAGGTATATAATAGGCAATTTAACGTGCACTTTATTAGCTCTTCTTATGTTATGTTACATTTGCTGTAAGATTAGATAAGATGGTTAGAATGGTTGTCGTTAGAAAATCTTACTTGGTACTTATAAATTAAGTAAAGTGTAATATTGAAGCGACTGATACTCCACCATCTTGGATTCAAAACAACATCAATCATATCACCACTTGTATTTGAGTACTCAGCATTGAATAATACACTTACTTTTACAATGCTCTCTATAGACTATCAGTCAACATTGAAATAGTGCCCATCAATAGTATCGTGAAACCTCTTTCCTTTTTATTTGAAACCCAACTGTATATAATTGCACCTCAATGTTGAAATTCACGCCGAAACTCCACCCCAATAATGGGGTACAGATTGTACAAAGTCAGGGTACTGGTATCCAGCGCTGGCCACTTGAATAACGATTTATATGAAGTACAAATGCCAAAGAAATTGACCGATTTCAGCCCATAACATTAACAATTGAAAGGTGTGAACACATTAAATTGGACCTCTACAGAGGCTTCTAAGTACTAGTCCAAATAAAACAAACTTTCAAATTTTCAGTCACAAATGATTATTTTTAATAGTTAATTAGCAAAATCTCTTGCAACGAGAGCAGATTTCATTTACAACACGCCAGTTTTATTTAACAAAAGACTGAACAACACATATAGTTTGTTTACTTCTAAAAAAAATCGATATAATTTGCCACTTACTAGGTGATAAAAATTTAAGTTATAGTTAACTTCTAGCCCTAATTCATTTATAACAATTTTTGGCTCATTAGTCAAGTAAAGTGTAGGTTTATTACATATGAACAACTAAATATTAAGCCATCACTGAAGACCATGAAGCACTGGACGGCCGTTTCGCGCTTTCATGGTATTCAGCAGTGCTCAGTCATGATTCCGCCTACGGAACGCGAACTTAGAACCTTAAGTCACGATCTAACGCTTAAAATCTGGACCACCGAGACGTTAACCAACAGTATTAATTAACAAAAATGGTATGGTCGTTTTGTTAGAAAAGACGTCAGCCTCATGACTTCCAAAATGTTTTGGCTTTCACCATGAGTCGTCATAAATTTTCTAAATAAAGATTATTCAATCTCCGAGGCAGAGTGTAGTGTCGGTAACAATGATAAACCCATATACCTTATTCGAGCTTCTGAACAGGCCTTCTCCACTGCCTTTCATTTTGCTCCGCTCTTCTCTTTGCTTCGTTCCTCTGATTGTCTATCCAGACTGATGATTGTACAAAATACATGTATTCGAAATTCTTTCTCGTGTTTGACTTCTTTATTTCCGTTGTTAACTAACGCGAGGTAAGCCGTTAACTATATACTAGGGTTGATGATATATATATTTGGGCAGCAATCAATCATACGATTCTATTTGAGTCAAACATCAGGCCACTAATAGATTTTAAATGGTTGAAGTGATTTTTCTGGTTGGCGTAACGAAACCCATGTTCTGGATCCCAATGTTAGTCACAATTCATCTATTTTGTTTCGAAGAAGTCCAAACCAACACCTTATATACAAACGAAGCCTGACTCAAATCCAGGCCTGAACATCAACAACAGAGCAATTCAAACACTGACCATTGATGATGTATCGTTAATTAATATCACCTGTATACATCGTCAAATTAATTATAAAGTCAATAGATCAGGTATATTCTTTCCTGAGGTATGCAGATTCGTGTCACACAGTTTTACTATCAGAAGTGTTCATACTAAGTTATTTGAATTCAGAATAACCCGCAGTTACGACTCAGATGTGCGAACTAAATTTTTACTTATCAATAAGTAGAGTGAGTAGACAGATTTCAATCGACAAAATTGCAATCAAGAAGCCTGTAGTTCAGTGAAGCAACTTCATTTCCTTTCACTATTCTTTGACATCAAACAAATACATACGATATTTACCTAATATCCATATCACTATTATCTTCATCGAATGAAAACAATGCGGAAGCGTAAATATTTTCAATTTTGACTAGTTGATTTTCACAGTTTAAATCATAAGTTCTTCTTAACTAGAAAACTAGATGTGGAGACATAGATGTGCATTAGTGAGGAGATCCATGCTAGGAAGGAACAGCTGTTTCCTCGGTTGTCCAGATCCTCCTAAACTCCAGTGTCATCCTGGGAACCAATAGGTGATATGTGGCTATGTCAGCTACTATGGCGGTTCTCATGTCTCCCACTGTTCTATTGGATTATTTTGGTTATGCAAACATTATCAATCTGGTTTTCTGTGATGTGATCCGGATAGACCAATGTGGCATTGTGTGGGAATAATGTCCCTTCTATAACCACCATTTTGAATGCACATAGATATTGATATATTACTTATTTGACTTACACAATAATGCTTTCTTTTAATAACATGACAATAAGTTTTCCTAACAGATAATAATTCAATATACAATAATGACACCATACGGCTAATTGTTCGGAGGAATTCTCGATGCTTACTTTGAATTTGTAGGTAATGAGGAAGATTATTCCAGAGCTTACTATACTATGAACTCTCCCATCACTAGCTAATGTTCTCGCCCTCCACATTTAGAAGGAACGCAACGATCATATTATCTATCTATCTATCTATCTATCTATCTATCTATCTATCTATCTATCTATCTGTTATCAAGAATGCAGTGCAACTGCTTACATAGACATGGATCTCGAGGAACAGGTATTTTGTTACTTCTGGTCAACAAAGTTTAAAACGTGAAAGAGTAACTGTTTTACCTTACATCTTGTTACTTTCACGATAATATACATTTCACATTGGTAATGTATTGAACGATAACACACAAGTGGGAACAACCAATATCCAATGTTAGCAAACTTCCTTGTTTGCTTATTGCGATGCTTGTTACTGAACATAACATCAAGGCAATACTGACAGTTTGCACATATGTCGCATTCCTAAACATCATTGGGAGATTCAAGTAAACACCATCAAGTGAATTACATGTTACTTTTGATTCATACAACTTTTCTCATGTCTCTACACTTGAGTGCACAAAGAACAAATATCACAGCAAGTGAATGAAACTTTCATGGATTGAGTATGATCAGCTTTACTGTTATTATTAATGATTGGAAAGAAGCAACTTTACATAACACTCGACAATGAAAGTGTCTAGAATAAATTGAGTTCAAATGTGGAGATTCAATAATATGAAAAGATCATATTGTGGAAGATATTGACATAAATATAAACACTTCAATCTGCTCAGTGGATGAATGCACATTTTGTATGTCTTACAACTTTCAACAAGAACAATCATCATAACAGTCACATAATATTGATAATGATATTTGTGTTCACTGAACTATCAACAATGATGAGCGAAAGGTAACAGACTTCCAGGACTAATTATTGTTTACGAAGTCCATTTCATTATCAACATAAAATAGGTGAATTTGACCTACATGTTTCTGTGGTGTTCGGTTGACCGTAGTCAGCTGTACACTAAGTGAACTGTTGATCTATTCATGTTTAGTAACGTTCGTTTACAAGTTCAGCTATTTCCGACTGTTATTAAGAAAATCGTTGTCGTCGTATCACATTTCACTGCAGCTTGTTAAGATCTATGGAATATTCGACTAGACGTAGTCATGATGTATCCATATCAGATGATTGGAATTCTCTTACAGTACTGATTGTTCAAATCATATAACGTATTTGTGCGACATGAAGTCTATCTGTTTAATTGAAGTATTCACAAGAGATTAGGTGAAATTCCCAAGGCGTATATCTGTTCGAGTGATAGCTTCATGAGATAAACACAAATGATGGTTAACAAACATGACACGAAAATGGTGGAAAATAACCTATCATTTTAACTAAGTGACATCTCTCAGCTTTTAACTAGTAGGTTTTTATAAGTAAACAAGCGCATAACCAATCAAATAAGGCAAAATCCAAGAAGTAGAAAAGTTCGAATTGTTGACATACAGCATTCCTGTATACAATTGTTCAGCCTATATACGTAGAGAGAACGAGAACGAGCGACTAGTTCAGTGACCACGTCTCCAATTGTGAGGCTGGTAGACACGTAATCGAAAGCATCACTTCCCTCAAGATTACACTTACATCTTACTGACGACGGCGTACTGACATAAAATCTAAATTAAGGTTTCCACAACGAATTGCTGTAACATTCACATTATATATATATATATATATATATATATATATACATTCATAGTGTACAAAATGTGTCGATTTTGATCAAAGAAACTAAAGTCCAATCACTTATTTGTTCTCAATAAACCAAAAGTTAAATGCACTTTGTTCTATTTCTGTTATAATTTGTGGATTGAAAGCTTATTGTCTTGGCTTTTTAATGCTTACTTTTGTATCTGCTCTTCGCTAATGGTTATGTCGGAAATACGCTAATCACTTGTACTCGAAACGAGGGAACTCCGCACATCGCACGACGCGAATGTAGGAACACAAAGACTGGTTTTAGTGATTATTTATTTACTCAAAAACACAGTAATGATGACGAAGACAACTCTAGTAGAAAAGATACTGATTTATTTACTGATTGTACACCCATTTTGATTAATAATAAAGATGAAATCACATACTGAGCAAAGTTCATATCGCATATTATACAGAATCTACTGTATGAGGCGGAAACCTGAAGAACTACGAAAGCCATCATCCAGAAGATTCAGGTGTTTATTAACAGTTGTCTACGCAAAATACTCTGGATCCGTTGGCCGGACACTATTATCAACAACGTACTGTAGGAGAGAACAAACCAGATCCCAGCGGAGGAGGAAATCAGGAAGAAGCGCTGGAAGTGGATAGGACATACATTAAGGAAAGCACCCAACTGCATCACAATGCAAGCCCTCATCTGCAATCCTTAAGGAAAAAGGAAAAGAGGAAGACCGAAGAACACATTACTTCGAGAAATGGTAATAGACATGAGAAAAATGAACAAGAATTGGATGGAACAAGAAAAGAAGGCCCAGGACAGAGTGGGTTGGAGAATGCTGGTCGGCGGCCCATGCTCCATTGGGAGCTACAGGCGTAAGTAAGTAAGTAAGTAATTATACAGAATAAAATATCACCCAAGAAAACAAAAGAAATCCTACATTGAGTAGTTATAACATCGAATCAAAACTGAAGTAATTTTGAACAAAAACTCATAATGAGTAAATCAAATCGTAAATTGACTTTTGATTCCATCATATCAATTTGTAACCAAATCACTTATTCTGTTGTTTTTTAAAATGTTCGCTTAACCAAAGTTCATTGAAGCGATTGATGAATTTCGCCATAAATTTGTGTAATTTTATTGAACCGTTATTAATACTGAACATTCGAATAATTTCATGTAAGTTTATCAATTTCTATCAAATTGTATGAGTTTAGATTTGTTGATAGGTTGTATTATAAGTAACACTGATTTCCCACCAGAAAGTCCACTTATCGACTTAGAATATGCAGATGACATAGTCCTGTTTGGTGAAGACGCTGACAAAATGCAGAGTCTTTTGGTATCACTAAGCAACAATGCCAGAATGTTTGTGATGCGCTTTTCTCCCTCTAAGTGCAAGCTGGCCTGCGTCAACACCAGAGTTAAGTATAAGAAGTGAAGTAGTCGAACGCGCTGACAACTCCACTTATCTTGGGAATGTGATCATTCATAATGTATTGTTGTCTGACGAAATCTCACCACGGATTGGAAAATCTCGCTTGAGTTTTGCCAACTTGCGTCACCTATGGCGAAATCGAGATACCCTTCTATCAATAAAAGGATGAGTATACTGCGCAACAGTTCGTTCTTTTCTTATTAACGGCTGTGAAATGTGATCATTAAGAGTTGAAATTACTCGTAATCTACTAGTTATTCATCACAGATGCCTTACAAATATTGTTCACATATGCTGGTATCATAGGGTGCGTAGTAGTAATGTTCGACACAAGGTATTAGGGAATGATGTTAAGTCAGTTGATGAAGTTATGAATCTTCATTTACTCAGATGGTTGAGCCACGTGTTACGTATGCCCGAACACAGATTACCACAACGTGCAACACTGTCTAATGTTGGAGGTGAGTGGAGGAAAACAGAAAAGGGCGGCCAAACCAAAACATGTCAGCGCGAAACATAAATCTTAACACGAATGATTCCAACTAGTTTCTTTTACAAATATGCGAGAGGTTCTCCTTGATTCTCATGTACTGGTGCCTTGTTCTACCACAAGATATACAAGACGAAATATATGGTAAATATTCGGTACGACATAACTTGTCATTGTCTATCCACAAACATGTTTGTAATGATCTTGAAAGATTTATCACACACTCCTCTCACTGCCTTCAGCAGTCTCCACAATATGGCAAAATCTTTCCTAAAAATCATCTATCGAGAATAATCGAGAACAGTAATGAATAAAGGTGGTAATACACAGGAACAAAGAATTCGTCAATGTAAATGTCGTGCAGTGCGCAAATCATGTATCCCTCTCTATATAGTGGGTCCTACAAAAAGCTTTCTTGCATATCGAAACAACATGAGAATACGAAGAGTGAGAGAGGGAGATAAGACCGAACTCCTACTCCACAAAAAGTAACCTACAAAAATGTTCTCATTACGGAATCACCGGTAGTACAAACTTAATTGTACGGTTTGTGTTTGAAACTAAATTTAGCAACTTAACATTTGGAAGGATTGGAATTGAGACCATTAACAACATACCGTCGTTCGCTGAATTACAAAAACTCATTCATTTCAAGAGGGCATGAAGAATTAGAAATCCTCATTCGTAATATACACATCAGAATCATCAGTCTACTTACCAAAGTGTTTTCCATAGAAGATGGGAGGACGATCATGCTTCGATTGTATGACATTCATATTTTACCCATAAATATATAATAGTAAAAGAGATAGCTTAACGTAAGCAACAACAACATACTTCCATTGAGAATTATATATTTGGATGAATGCAATGGTCATTGTTAATTATCTTTTTCTCTGGATTGAGTGCGATAACGTTAATGAGTTAAAGTCACATTATGCAGTGAACAGATAACATGAATCTGATGAGATCAATTTTTATCGATTTTCGGTGTTTGCTATTATTCGCGTAAAGATGATACAGCAAAGTACTCAGATGGAATTCAAATTCTGTCCATCAATCCAAACTTGCTGAAAAACAATGATGAATGAGGAAAGAAATAGGCATGTGAATGAACATTTAAGGTTTTATGTTATCCATGAAATCGATTATATCCATTACTGTTTTATTGTGAATTCTTACTTATTTCAGTTAAAGTTGGAATTAGTGATTGTGGAATGTGAATTGTTCACAAATCTCCATTGCAGTTAGTTAAACGATGATGAAATTGGCATTTGATAATGTGTCAAATGTAACCTGTCAGAAAAATTCTACTTGCATGTAAGACATTTATCATTCCATTTGACAGATTCAGATTTCTTTGTTATGCAACACCAGTTGTTCTCAGTGGTATCATATTAACGTAAGTAATATATGTTTAAAATACACTCATTCCCCAGAAATCCTAACGACAATTTCCCGTGTATTACTATTACATATCATTCAATGAACTGATTAATACACTTTGATGAGAAATTTGATCCATGTTTAACAAGAATATTATGACTGAGGAAGAGAAATAAACTTTATTTGTTTCCCATTGGATAGCATTGTCATTTTGTGTTACATCACATGACAATAAATAATCATATTGAAATGTATATATGTATTTATTTGAACTCAAATATTAGTACAAAGAGTCAGAGAACACATATTCGCCACACAGATCACTTGATTTGTGTGTGGGCTGTGATACTGCGCGGGTGACCAGACCGATGATGGTGGTTTAGTTAGGGTAGCACACACCCGGATTCAAAGGGCAACGTCAGCAGATGGCATCCCATGGCAGCTGGTGACCGACAATTGGTTCATATGACATTTGTTTCCTTATGACTTTGGATCTCATATACATCAACGATTTGATATCATGGTTTCCAACTTTCCAAAACGGATTCCACATATACATCAACCCAGTCAAATAGCACGACATTCGCACTTTATCCTCTGAATTTCGTAAACAATACCCCAGTCACAAGAAGACAGTGATTAAATCTTCCATGGTAGTCTCTGTATATGCGTGTCCATGTTAGAGAATTTTGAGCGGAAGAGCTAATTCTCTCCACCATCGACAGTACCAAGGCATTTGAAGAATGAGACGAAATAACTCAGAGATCAATGCTTACATATTCCACTTATCGGTTATTTGACAAGTTTGACAAACTTTCAAAAATATCGAACTGAGAAGTTGAGGAATATGTTCACGCATTTTATGCATACATATTGTGTAGAACATTTGATGCATATTACTATGCTCTGTTGTATCTGTGAGCTTCGTATGTTGTACACATATTTTCCTTTATATTTCAGATTTATAGGTTTACTTATTGGATTAATAATCATATTGATTAAAAAACTACATTCGACATCCATAATGAACAGTATCTTCATGGTTATAACGGTCAGTTGAATATGGTTTTAATAGTACATTCATGATAGTTTCGTCCAACTATCGACTGAATTTCGTTAAGTGTTGTTTGTCGAATAATAAAACGATGTTGTGATGTTCCTTTGATAACGGTTATTATGATCAAATAATCTTTGATGGTTGAGTTGAATAGATGAGTTTGATCGTTGTAATTTATTTTAAGACGACATCATGTGTAGAGACCGAGTTTCGATAGTTTCACTGATTTCATAAAAATGTTGACGTATATTGATGATGCGGTTGGATCATGAGCTATTACTTAACTGATAACTGGCGAAAATAATATAACATTAAAAGGTATCTGTCTGTTCATGTTATAATCATCCACACATTTTGTCAATCACTGAACTTGTGTTCTTTGATACACCAGTGGTCATTTAGTGCTTCAAGTCGCCGACACATTACTAGCTGTCCTACTTGTTGGTTTACCCAAATTGGTATATTCCACACCGTTTAGGTGAGAAACCTCATATAATGGATGAGCGAATTAGCATTGAAGATATTTGAAGCTTGTCATTATGATAGATATGGATAGAGATTCCTTGCTATGTGCTTGTATCCATAACTATTCATTGTTAAACATTTCAATCAAATGCAGGAGAGTGAAGATTATTCTTTCATCATTTGTCCAATAGTTGACCGATTCAACTTTAAAACTAATGGTAATTAATTTGATGATACTACTTTTTCCATATTCAGTTTATAATTTTGATCATTGGTGTTGGATTACTAAATTTACATACAAAATGGTATGAAATAATTATTTCTGTAACTGTGGATACCACGATGGCCAGCCTAGCGATTTTACTGGGTGTAAAGCTACGAGTTCCAGAAAGAAAATTGGAGATAATCTTGTTCTCGATATGGTGTGTGTTTGGGGGAATTGGAATCATATTATTGATTATAGGGGCAACACTTCATAACGTAAGTTTGTCTGGTCATACTTTTCCACAAACTAGTAGTAATTAGTAATGATTATTGATTTGCTAATGGTTTACTCGATTAGCTACAGTTTTCTCTTAAAAAAGTACGCTAATCGTGAATGCAGGTGAAAAGTTTCTGTTACAGCAAAAAGCCACCAATCAGAAGCAGCGAATTATCGATCGGACCAAGAACGCGTAAAACACGTGCGAGCAGTCTAGAGTCCTAATCGGTCCCCTCTTTGCCTAGGCCAGCCAGTTAAGTTCAGAACACCAGTCTAAGCCACTGCAATATGAATAATGTATTTCAAATATACTCTATTTATATACCAACGAAACAGACTACATCGAACCATAAAACAGGAAACAACATTAGTACAAGATTCAGCCCAAAGTTGCTGTGAATGTGTGAGATAGTGATCGGTATACAGGGAATAACTCAAGAATGGAAAGCTGTATCATAGCAGTTTATAGGTTAAAATAAAGCTTATGATAACAGAGACATGAACATGAATAGTTTAGTTAAGTAACGATTATACGACCAAATTATACACATAGTGTTTTTCCATAACTTGATGCCAAAACATTAACACTCATCATTCTTATCGGGACACAACAGTTTTCTACACCGAAGTAGAAATACATTTTCAATTTATATTTCATTGAGGAATATTCCAAACAATTCTTTGTCTTCTAATACATGTTCAACTACACTGAACGTTTATTCGCTGCCGTAGTGAAAATCATAGTGTTTTTTACCAACCTTGATACTTTCATCAAGTTAATTACTTACTTACACACTTACGGCTGTTACTCTCAGTGTTGCAACGGCCTCCTTACAGCATTATCCAACCCACACTGTCCTGAGCCTTACTTTCTAGTTCTATCCAGTTTATGTTCGTTCTTCTCATGAATTTCTTGGAGTAATTTATTCATAGGTCTACCTATTCTTCTTTGGCTTTGAGGATTCCAGATGAGGGTCGGCATTGCGACGCAGCTGGATGCTTCTCTTAATGTGTGTCGTATCCACTTCCATCGCTTCTTCTTCAGTTCCTCCTCCGCTGAAATTTGGAGTAATATTTGCCACAGCAGGTTGTTGCTGTCAGTGTAATGTCTGGCCAACAGATCCAAAGTATTTTGCCTAGACAACTGTTAATAAACACCTGAATCTTCTGAATGATGGCTTTCGTAGTTCTTCAGGTTTCTGCCCCGTACAGTAGACTCGTTTTGACATTTCTATTGAACATCGCGACCTTGGTGTTGTTTGACAGAAAACTGTTTTGAGTTCCAGATGTACTTCAGTTGTAAATATGCTGCTATTTCCTTACCGATCCTTGCCTTCACATCTGCATCTGATCCTCCGTGTTCATCAATGATGCTACACAAATACGTGAAGGTTTTAACATCTTTCAAATGTTCTCTGTCAATTTTGATTGCATCGGCGCATGCTGTGTTTGTTTTATGGAAGAATTTTGCTTTTTCATTAGTGTACTTTGAGACCTACTGCTGCTTGAGCTGACGCATCACTGTTGTTCCTCTCCTTCATTTGTTGTTGCATGTGCAACAGAAGAGCCAGATCATCTGCGAAGTCCAGATCGTCCAACTGCATCCTAGATGTCCATTGTATCTCGTGCTTTCCTTCAGATGTTGATGTCCCCATGATCCAGTCGATCACCAGAAGAAAGAGAAAGGGTGAGAGTAAGCAACCTTGCCTAACACCGGTCTTCACTTCGAACGACGTTGTCAACCGTCCTCCGTAGTGTCGAAGATTTTTCCATAGTGTTATTCTGTCCACGCTATCGAATGCCTTATTTTGCCTTCCTTGCTTTCCACTAGTCGTTCTGGTTAAAGATAATTTCCAACGAGTTTCTTTGTTGTACTATACATTTGTCTAATGTTTACCCCTCTTGCCTCCTTTTCCGCCGTCATTGCTAAATCCTCCATATATATATACTTGTCAGTTCTGATGCTCCTCCTTACTTGCTTGTTTACTGCTGTGTGTTCAACTTGTGCCTTGGCTTTCTCTGCTCTTGTTCGGCTGATATTGATTGCTGACTTCTTGTTCATCCTTTCTTAAATCTTATCCAGTGTATCTGCAGTAATCCATTCCTTGTGTCGGTACTTCATGTGGCCCAGAACCTCATGACATGTTGAAGTGATTGCCTCTTTGATCCCATTCCAGTTGCTTTCCATAGTAGTTCCCTCTCCATTGAGTAGATCGTGAAAGGCCTGAAACTTATTGTTGAGGGCTGTCTTGAATTTGTTGAGTTTGTCAGTATCCCGAAGAGAGGCCGTATTGAACTTTTGTGATATTGACCGCCCATTGTCCAGTGCTCCTTGAGTTTCAATTTCATCTTGGCGACCAGCAAGTGATGACCTGATGAAATATCAGCTCCTCTCTTAGTTCGCACTTCTTCCATCGTCCTCCTGAACGATTTGTTGATGTAGATATGGTCGATTCGGTCTTGTGTAGTGTGATCCGGTGAAGTCCATGTGGTTTTGTGTATGAATTTGTGTGGGAATATGGTGCCGCCTATGAACAGTTTATTGAAGGCATATAGGTTTGCAAATCTCTCACCATTTTCGTTTCTTTCTCCTAGTTCATGTCATCCCATCATGTGTTCACATCCGGTGTTGTCCATTCCAACCTTGACGGTTAGGTCCCTGTGATATTAAGAAGTATTTGAATTATAGTATGAACTAAGAATACCAGAAATAACGCGACTGAGTCAAAAAGTAGTAGACAAGCACGAACGAATGTACTGTATTTAGAATTCGAACTCAAGCATGCAACAAGTACAAAGGAATCATTAGTTCATTCAATCAACACATCCGCCACAGCTTAAATTGGAGTCTAGATGTCTGTAATCAATTGTACGTCTTCTCCTCAAGTTCATCTTGTTTCTGTCGGACAGTGTGTTAGATAAGGACTCTGTATTATCTAGGATGTACTCATTACCATTAGAATTAACAACTGAAATTGGAATTGACACACCTGGTTCCTGAAATTGTATTTGATCAACATGTCGATTGTGTGCACTTAAGCCATTGATATCTAGAATTCGCATCGATGATTTTCTGACATTCTTAAGAACAATCCCTGTGGATGGTCGAAGGTCATTTCCACAATAATATGTAACTTCTGCAGACTCCAAACAACTCATATTCGACCGAAGAATTCTTCCTATCAATAACTTCGCTGGAGTCTCGTCACCGAATATCTGGCATTTCTATATTGCAATAGAAAGGTGTCTACTCCCCTCTCCAGCTCATTAAATGTTGAGGGGGCTATAGAATCAATAGCAGTCTTTAATGTTCTGACCAAAATTCTCTGTCTAACCATTAAAACAAGGATGTCTGGGAGCAGTAAACAAATTTTTGCATACTATAAATTCAACCAGGTGGTGACTGCATCCGCAGCAAAATGAGAGCCATTATCGGTCACTAACACCATAGGAAGCCCTTCTCGACCAAACACCTTTCTTAATGCTTGTATTGTGAAATCAGAATTTGGTGAAGTTGGGAAAAAACTTCAGGCCACTTTGAGAACGAATCAATAACTACTAGTGCATAATATTTGCAAAGAAACGGTACACAATAGTCAGCATGAATTCTCTGCCAGGCCTCGGACGATACTGACCATGGCATCCACTACGAAGGCTGATTTTTCAACTGATGACATTTCTCACAATTGTTTGCCGTACGGCATATATCTGCATTTATCCCTGGCCACCAATATGTGAGCCTAGTCAATGACTTCATTTTTTCAACACCTTAATCACCACTATAAAGATCTTCAAGAACAGATTTACGCAATGAAGGAGGACTGACAACACGATCATTTAAATACAAAATGCCAACAGGAGTAGAGGATAGCTCATTCCGCTTTGAAAAACAGACAGGAAATCTACGTTTCAAATTAGCATTCCAGCCTTTCCATATAGCACTGAGTATACTTCCAAAATATCTGCCAGTTTCTATAATGAGATCTGAACGTCTCACTGGTAAAGATTGCACCAACAAACAGTCCGAAGTATTTATAGGTCTATCTTGTAATGGCTGTCGAGAAATGTAGTCAACATTTCGAATTTGTTCGGCACTTCTGTGCTGAACCGTATACTCATATGCACTCAAAGCAATACTCCATCGTTGAACCATAGCAGCTGAAGAACTTGCTAAGGATTTTTCGGAATGATAAATGAACTTTAAAGCTTCATGATCTGTAACAATAGTGAATTTCTTTCCGAATAAATATTTATGAAGTCTTTTAACAGCCCAAAACACAGCTAATGCTTCTCGCTTAGTCTGCGAATAACCTTTTTCAGTAACAGTAAGTTTGCTTGAAAGACAAATGACTGATCTACCTTCTGTTGGGTCGGCTTCCGGAGAACTTCAACGGAGCCTCCAGAGGCCCACAAGGAGCCGAAGAGTCCTGGCCAATCAGAGTGTGATGGAACGTTCTAGAATTCCAACGTGGCGTGCTACTATTGGTCGGTAGCATAATGTGCTGTTATCGGATTGGCTGTAAAATGATGTTGATTTAACAGACGCCAAAATCTATAAATACCCATGATTTTCTGTACAAAGATGAACCTTGGAATAAAGTGCTTTCTCTCATTCTTGTGTCTTCTCTCTGGAGTTCAAGTCGCTGTGTAGTTCTAGACTGCGGGTTATCGGATTAGCTTAGGAATCGTATATAGCGTTCAACCTTACACGACTTATCAGTGGCGACGGGGATGAAAACTTCAATGAATATTTCCTTGGAGCAATTAGAAGCTTATATGGTGCGTCAAGAAAAGAGGTTTGAAGAGTCCCATATTAGAATCATGGAAACCCTGATGCAGAAATTCTGCCTGTCGGAGAAAAACCCTGCTTCTAGTGAATCTCAAGTATCACATACTGATTCAGTCATTAACGCCATCCATGAATTTAATTTTGATGGTGTAGCAGGTGTAACTTTCGAGTCGTGGTTTAAGAAGTATGAAGATTTGTTTTATATTGATCTTTGCAAACTGGATGATGCTTCAAAAGTCAGAATACTTCTTAGAAAACTTGGGACTATGGAACATGAACGCTATAGCAACTTCATTCTTCCGAAGAACCCACGAGATTTTAGTTTTGATGATACAGTCAAAACCCTATCCCAAATCTTTGGAGAACAATCATCTCTATTTAATATCCGTTACCAGTGCTTAAAGTTAACGAAAGAACCAGGAGATGACTGGGTGAAGCATGCAGGAACTGTGAACCGAGAATGTGAGAGATTTAAATTGTCGTCCATGTCTGAAGATCAGTTTAAATGCTTAGTATTTATCTGCAGCCTGCGTTCACCCGAAGATGCCGATATCCGAACCAGAATCCTAAGCAAACTCGAACACTGCCCTAACATGACCCTGCAAGAAGTGACTACTGAGTGCCAAAGGTTAGTAAACTTAAAGCATGATACCTCAATGGTAGAAAACGGTAACTGTTTCCGTAACGTCAATGCAGTCAAGAGAAAAGTCTTTCAAGGTTCCAGTACCCATAATTTCCAAAATAACAGCGACAAACCATCATCTCCATGCTGGGCATGTGGAGGTTGGCACTATAAGAGGTTTTGCCCACATAAAGAACATCGTTGCAGCAAATGTCATCGGAAGGGGCATAAAGAAAACTTCTGCAGGAGAAGAGACTATAGAAAACGTTCCGTGAAATCTTACTCAACGAAATACAGATATAGTGCTCCAACCAACAAGATATTGGTATCACATAACAGAGCACGAAGTTGCCACCAAAGAAAGTATGTGACCTTGAATATTAATAAACACCGTACCCGCCTTCAGCTGGACACAGCTTCTGATATTACTTTAATCAGCCCAGAAACGTGGAAGAACATTGGGAGACCCACAGTTTTCCCAACAACACAGCTGGCACACAGTGCATCTGGAGGGAAGTTGAATATTGTTGGAGAAGTGCCATGCATTGTTTCTAAAGGTACGGTAACAACAAATGCAATATTGTATCTTACTAAGAAGCCAGCACTAGACTTAATGGGGTTGGACCTTATAGAAACACTTAAACTAGCAGATCATTCTATCAACAGTATCTGCAGACGAGTAAGTACAGACAACACCCCAGAATGGAATCAGAAAAACGCCATGCTACAAAGACATCAAAACGTGTTTAGAGAGGGATTGGGAGAATGTACGAAAGCTAAAGCACTGTTAACTCTAAAACCTGAAGCTGCTCCCGTTTTTCGACCTAAAAGACCTGTACCCTATGCTGCTCTTCCAATAGTTGAACAAGAATTACAACGACTTCAGCAAATGGGTGTTATCGAGCCTGTGAACTTCTCGAATTGGGCTGCACCAATAGTGGTGGTCAAGAAGTCGAATGGAAGTGTTCGTTTATGTGCAGACTACTCCACGGGATTAAATGAAGCGCTACAGTCTCATCAGTATCCGTTACCCTTACCAGAAGATCTTTTCGCTAAGCTGAACGGTGGCAGATATTTTGCAAAATTGGACTTATCAGACGCATACCTACAAATCCCTGTATCTGATGAAAGCAAAGATCTCTTAACGATCAACACACACAAAGGTCTGTTCCGGTATAACCGACTACCTTTTGGGGTAAAGACAGCACCCTCTATTTTTCAGCAAATTATGGATACCATGTTACAAGGTATTTCAGGAGCTGCAGCCTACCTAGACGACATCATAATTACGGCAGTAGATAAAATGGACCTGCAGAAGAAACTGGACCAGGTACTAGAACGCATAGCTGATTATGGTTTTCGCCTCCGAGCGGAAAAGTGTGACTTCTATATGCAGCAAGTACGGTACCTTGGGTTCATAATAGATAAAGACGGAAGACGACCAGATCCAGAGAACATTGAAGCAGTGAAAACAATGCCTAGACCCAGGGACGTTACAACCCTACGATCATTCTTGGGATTGGTCAGTCATTACGGTACCTTTCTCCCCGATCTCCATCGTCTACGTGCTCCACTAAACAACCTACTACAAAGGAACACAAGATGGAATTGGTCTGCAGACTGCCAAGCATCTTTTGAGAAAATCAAGCAACTCCTAACTTCCGATCTCTTATTGACACATTATGATCCTTCTCTACCGATAGTCGTCGCTTCAGATGCTTCTAACTATGGTGTGGGCGCAGTTATCTCTCATATTTTTCCTGATGGGTCTGAAAAAGCTATCTCACACGCTGCCAGATCTTTGACAACGACTGAAAGGAACTATAGCCAAATCGAGAAAGAAGCCCTATCGATTATATTTGCAGTGAAAAAGTTCCACAAGATGATATATGGTCGACATTTTACCCTAATAACAGACCATAAGCCACTACTTGCAGTGTTTGGGTCAAAGAAAGGAATTCCCGTTCATACAGCTAACCGACTCCAACGATGGGCAACCACACTTCTGGGTTACGACTTCAAGATCAAGTATCAGTCTACTACCGCTTTCGGGCAAGCTGACGCATTGTCGAGATTAATAGGCTCCCAATCGAAAACCCCGGAGGAGACTCTTGTAGCAAATATAAAAGCCGAGGAAGAAGTTCATCGCGTGTTGGATGACGCAGTTAATGGACTCCCAGTAACCTTTGAAACTATCAAGAAGATAACTGAAAGTGATAAGATACTGAGCTCAGTTAAAAGCTATCTCTTGACGAAATGGCCAAACAATCGCCTCGACGGAGAACTCTTGCAATATTTTCGTCGACGGGACTCTCTAATGGTTGTTGACTCCTGTATTATGTTCGGTGATCGCATTGTTGTCCCGAAGTTACTACGTCACAAGGTCCTCAAGCAGTTTCACAGTGGCCATCCTGGAATCAGTAAAATGAAATCTTTGGCTCGTAGCTATGCTTATTGGCCGTCAATGGACACAGATATCGAGAATAAATGCCGTAACTGTTCATCATGTATCCAAGCCGCTAAAAATCCTTCGAAATGCGAGCCTCAGTGTTGGCCTATGCCCGCGGGACCCTGGGTAAGACTTCACGCAGATTTTGCCGGTCCAATCCAAGGGAAAATGTTTCTAATTATCGTAGATGCATTCACTAAATGGCCGGAAGTATACATCATGCCAAATTGTACAACGTCAGAAACGATCCGCAAGTTGTCTATCCTATTTAGCAGTTTCGGAGTGCCAGAGACCTTAGTGACGGATAACGGCTCTCAGTTTGCCGCAGAATCGTTTAAACATTTCTGCAGAACAAACGGAATAAATCATCTTCGTTCTCCACCCTATCATCCACAATCAAACGGACAAGCAGAGCGCTTTGTGGACACTTTTAAACGAGCATTACTGAAAGGGGGAGGAGAAGGGACGACTGAGCAGGTGATCACAAAATTTCTGACATCATACAGATCCACCCCAAACCCAAATGTTCAAGACGGCAAATCTCCCGCGGAAGCCATGTTTGGAAGGCGTATTCGAACAGTCTTCGATGCCATGTTGCCATCCAAACCAGTGG